TCTCCTCAGAAGTTCTGTTCCATTGTAAACAACTATTGTTATCATCATTATAAATATTCTACTACTTCTGTTTTACAGTTAGTATCAACTTTATCATTAAGTCTACTCTGTCATCAACAATTTCTGTTTGTTATGTATGGTTGAATAGGCCATGATCATTTATTCCTATCTCATTTTAATATAAATTAAACATTGATTATTGCGGCATGCGATTTTAATTATTCTTACGAAGACGATGAACTGTGTGTGTTGATTCCCATGAATTCGCATTTTACTTTTTCATATTAGAATAAGATTCAAAGAGTACAAAATTGTATTGATTCTTGTTATTGCATCGTTTTATTATTGCCTTTGCTTTACGAAGTGCTTCGAATTCTTGAATTTTTCAACAACAAAAAAACTTGCTTCTGTGCAACTCGCAAGACATTCGAGTACTATCGAATTAGATTTCGACAACCATATCAGCAAATATTAATGATCATAGTAGGTAGCGTACTGAATAAACACATTATATGATAGAACGTTTCATATTACTTAATTACGCCAGTTACCTCCAGTAAAGCATAGCTCGCTGAACAGTAAGAAAGATGATGATACTGATTCTAGTGTGATGCATCTATAGTTTACCAGGTACATTCTCAGATCCTACCCATCTGTTCCTCTGTTTTTGAATTTCAGTGATTTACTTGCCTTCTTAGTCCCTGACTGGTACCTCTGGTTTAGTATATTTCCCTGCCAGTTTCTTCGTCGTATCATATGGTTGTTTGAAGTTTCGTTTTGTTGCAGTTTTTTCCACTGTCGTTTCTAGGTCTTCCGTGTATTTCTATCAAGCGTTATTGGGTTGGTGCTCATTGTGTTGTATTTCGAAATCTTGCTTATTCTTTTGTGTGTTGAGCTTTATTGCTGTAAAGTATGCAACTACACTGACTTTCTTCACATGTATTTATTGATGTGTATGAGATAGAAGGGCTATGTCATCTTCAAATTACAAATCCTTCAGCTACATCCAAGATTCCTATTGTGTTACGTGTTTCTCCTCAGATGTGTAGGTCTTCGTAATCCAGTCAACCATCAGGTGAGAGAGAACTAAGGAGAGTAAACAGTCCTATCTGTCACCGGTTCTCATTCGAAATGCATCTGTCAGCTGTTCTCCGTGTTCGAATTTGCTGTGTAGTCCGTTGTATGAATTCTGTATGGTGTTGGCGATCTTCTCAGCTACTCACTCCATAGTGTCAAGGAGGATTCTATAATGTTCTCTTATTCACTGTCAAACGCTTTCTCAAAGTTAAGAAAGGTGATGTAAAGTGACGAGTTCCATTCAATTGATTGTTCAACAATGACCCATAATGTCATAATTTGATCTGGGCACAAATTAACCTCACGGAAGCCGGTCTGTTGATCTCAAAAATGAGCGTCTACTGAATCTTTCATCCGGTTGAGCAATACTCTGTTGAAAACTCCTTGATACTGATTCTAGTGTGATGCCTCTATAGTTCACCAGGTATATTCTCAGATCCTACTGCTTATCCACTCACCACTTGTCTGATGACCATCTTGATTTCTTCGATATTTGGTAGTGTGACAGCTATAGACAGGCGTGTGTGTGTGCCGTTTCTATGTACGGCGGATTTAATGGAGCTAGTCAATTCAAGAGTTCCTGAAAATGTTATTCTCATCTGTTCCTTTGTTTTTGAATTTCAGTGGTTTGATTACCTTCTTGGTCCTTGATTGGTATCTCTCGTTTAGTCAGTCAGTCAGTAAGTCAGCTACAACGTAGGACCAGGCACATATATGTATCGGTCCAAGTTGCCATACCTCATTAACACAACAAGATGGACACCGGATTCATAAATGCAGTTAATTCAGAGGTGGTAATATATAAAAGATTGCAATAAGGATATAGTACATGAAGAAAGAATTAGTTCGTAGAAAGAAAGATATGAAGCGATTTTTATCTCTTAGTTTAAGGGAAGACAGGGATTGTATACACCGACGCCATTGTGATCGATTCTGAACCATGTCACCAAGTCTCCAACCATTGGTTACGATAGTCACACAGACCCCACCCAAGTAGTCTGCATCTACCAACATGGCTCAGACTAGAAGTTAGTATCTTCAAGCACTGATGCCACGTTTTGATTTGGCCACCTCTAACTTTCTTCCAACCATCCCGAACCCCGGTTAGCATTGCACGTCATGGTAATCGGTGTTTGGGCATACGTAACACGCGGCTCAACCATCTCAGTCGATGAAGATTAACAACCTCATCAACTGATTTACCATCATTCCCTAATACCCTGCGTCTAACCTCACTATTACTTACCCGGTGATCCCAGCAGATGCCAGCAATATTTCTGAGGCATTTAAGGTCAAATACTAGTAGCTTACGAATGTCTTCTAATCTTAATGGCCATGTTTCGCAGCCATAAATTAAAACAGAACGGACTGCCGCGCAGTATACTCGTCCTTTTATTGATAGACGGATATCTCGCCTCCGCCAAAGGTGACGTAAGTTGGCAAAAGCCAAGCGAGCTTTTCGACCCCGTGCTGACATTTCGTCAGACACCAACCCATTAGGGCTGATCAGACTTCCAAGATAAGTGAAGTTGTCAACGCGTCCGACTACTTGACTCCCTATCCTTAGTTCAGGTGTTGACACAGACCAGTCCTGAAGCAACAACTTGCAATTAGAGGGAGAGAGGCGCATTCCAAACATTCTGGGATTGTTGCTTAGTGCTACCAAAAGACTCTGCATTTTATCGGCGTCTTCATCAAACAGGACTATGTCATCTGCGTATTCTAAGTCGATAAGTGGACCTCCTGGAAGGAGATCAATACCCGAGTATCCAGTCGACGAGAATGTTATTTCCATAAATAGGTCTATGATGAAGTTAAACAAAAATGGTTTAGTACATCTCCCCGCCATTTTCTTCGTCGTATCATATCATTGTTTGATATTTTCTTCCGTTGCAGCTTTTCCCACTGTCGTTTCCAGGTCTTCCATGTATTTATTTTTGTTGTTGTTGACTCTAATGCTCTTCTTCACTCGCTTGTTTGCTTCTGTGTATTCAGCTTGTGCCTTGACTTTCTTTGTTCTTGTTTGACTGTTGTTAATTTCTTTCCCCTTGTTCTTTCTCTCATTTTTATTGAATCCTGTTCAGATAAACAATATAGATCCAATCCTTATGATGATACTTCTTGGGGCATAGAACCTCCTGACATGTTGTAGTTAATGCTTCATTGATCTCTTTACGGTTGTTCTTCATGGTAGTTTATTCCCTTTTGAGATGTTATAATGCTTGAAACCTGTTGTTGAGAGTTATCTTGAATTCGTTGAGTTTGTCAGTATCTGAGAGGAAGTCAGTATTGAACCATACTAATACTGTTTCTCCAGTTTTTCGGTATGTTTTTGGCTACAGTTTCATCTTGGCAAATATCAGGCAATGATCTGAAGCTATGTCAGCTCCGTTCTTCTTTCTCAAGTCGTCCATGAATCTTCTGAATTTTTTGCTGAAGCAAATATAATCGATTTAAGTTTGTGTAGTGTGGTCCGGTGAAATACATTTAGATTTGTTTATTCGTTTATGAGAATATAGTGCCGCCTACAACCATTTTGTTGAAGTCACATAAATTTGCAAAGCTCTCGTCGTTCTTCTTCCTTCCTCTCTGTGCATTTTGTCCCATGATATCTTCATACCCAGTGTTGTCTTTCCCAAACTTAACACTCACATCTCCAATCAGGATGGTGATGTTCTCTCCTTAGCAGCTCTCTACGATTGACTGCAGTCTCTCAGCCTTCCAATCACCGACAAGGTGTCTCCTCATTTCCACAACTGCTTGACTGGTTCTCCCAGTCTTCCACATTGTCTGGACATGTCATATGCCAGTTGCTAAACAGTGTTATGTACCGAGTAAATACTAATCCCAAGAAATAAACTGTGGCTTATTGGTTATCAAATAACCTATGTTTTATTTTATAAGTATGTCAATGAAAATGTATAGTAAATATATACTAGATCGTCTCATCATTATGTTTACCAGTCAGTGAAAATCATTTAGACAATGATTACAAACCATATACATAAATGACTAAGTTCCATTTTTATTTAAACAAACATTTAACAAGCCAATATGCTTTACACTGTTCAGATAAACACTACTATTAGGAAGGTATTGAATTATTCCGTTGTTGATAATGCTGAGTGAATTTCGATTAGTTTTTGTTGGGATAGGTGTGTTCTGTACTGATTGCCTTGATGTGGCCAATTTCCACAAGTTCAGTCTAGTTTTTCATCAAACCAGTTGCCATCTAACCTCACTATCTTACTGGTTAAGTCGTTGAAGCAAAAGGTGCTGAATTAGAGTCTTTATAAGAATATCAATATTGGGGTCCAGGTACATCCAGCTGACAATTCCCCAATAGGACGAATCATACATTCTGCATTCTACTGCTAGTCGTTTAAGTAAACATTTAACATATAAGAAGTTATAGTTTGCATTGAGTAAACATATAAAACAAACCCTGACGGTATTAGTGTTAGCAACAGTATTGAAGATTTTGACTAACTTTCACAACACGTATAATCTAAAGACCATTGATAATAAATAATCAAATTAACAATGACAACAAATGTTTTTACATGATCATTTATAATACCGTATATCTGTCAATAAAAAAGTGTAAGAATTAATTTAAAATGTAAACAATGAACATGATCTTACGATGGAAAACTTAAATCCACAACACAAAATAACCATAGAAATCGAAGAATGTACAATGGAAAATCCAGAAGGTTTAATGCAAAAATCAATCATTTTTCACTGCTTACTTCGTTGTCATCAATATGTCTGAAATCAATGCTGTATGTTTAGTAATGGAAAGTAGCTGAGGAAGTTTCAAAAAAGAGGAAAATTTAGAACTGAAAAGGTAGTAAAATACTACTGATTATTCACATGGGATTTATATACATTTATAATGGCCTATTTAACACTGTTCAAAATTATAAACATGTGGATGAATAAAGCTTGATAGAGAATATACAAACAAAGCAGACCAATTCCAATGACATTTTGTTATTGAGACTAATATTTTCCTGAACTTTTGAATTCGTTGAGGAATTAGATGCTGTAGAATTCAATGCTTTCTCTGGAAGTATTCCGGTTTTCTTTAAAGATTCCTTTGTTTTGTTGTCATGCACCGGATCATCTACAAACAAACAATCAATGGAAAATAGTTTCTTTCTGTAGATTATAGAAAATTTTGAAGGTAAATTTAATTTTATTAAAAATATTTGATTACTTGTTACTGGTTAACAACAGCGCAATATTTCCAGAGTTCAAAAGGTTGAGTGCTATCAATTTTTTAAACTGAATAAATTGCATGTTTGAATTCAACAGGTAACTAAGTAAGAATATTAAAGCTTACATGAAAAAATTTACGAGTTTCATTTGTACCAGTTAAGAAACTATTCAGATCACCAAGTTATTGATTCTAAAGGATGCTGAACCACTATCACAGTCAGCCATTTTTAATAGAGAATCATTTTCTTTTTTAACATTGTTCTATTAAGATAAACTACTCTTTAGTAAACGGAATATGTGGGGCCCTTTATTTTGTCATCATTTAGATCGGACGATGTTGTCGAAAGGGCTCTTCACTTTAGTGGCCCAGTGGATCTGACTCCAAGGTGATTGTAATGATGATTGTTGTTGAAATATGTATGTCGCCTATCCTCGTATTTAATCATCTACTTTAGTCGCGTTAGTCAATAACGGATTTAGATAAGTCAAATAACGAGAATGGACTTTTGAATACATGTATTCTGTATATGAAACGAATGAAATGGAGAGAAGAGAAACGAAGCAGAGTCGAGATGGCGGGTAAGCCAACTCCCATTTGACGAAGCGTTAATCAATATTTATAGGCACACAAAAGTAAGTTACAGACATGTGATGAGTAATGGGATAAGAAATGTACACACACCTACGCGCTCTTATAAAAACAGTCAAAATTGATAAGCGAATAATTAACAAGGTCAAAATATAACTCAAGTAGAATGAATAGAATGGACTGTCGGAAAGCTAGAATAAGATATATTGGCTTAACATAATAACCGACACTACGAAAACACCTATTAGAACATTAAATAAGAAATATTAGTTCAGCGAAGAGTTCTTTTTTTCGGCGAATTCATTTTCAAATCTGTACAATCGCAAATAATATATACTTATTTTTACAGGATGATAATAATACTGATAATAAACTTCTGTTAGACATGGTGACAGTGAGGTCAAATAAACAAAGGTCGTTCGACACGTACTTTATCCAAAAGAATTCGAGAACATTGTCCGGAGTGGCTAAAATGAAGAGGCGACGGTTCAATAAGAAATTCAATAATCGAACACGTGAATACAGGTCACTCAATCAAGACAGACTCTGCGTTCAAACTCATCTACAAGGTAATTAGAAGTCTTCCAAAGACAATTAAACTACATCCTCTTTGCATTGCTGAAGCATTAGCCATACATCTGGGAAAACCAGAATTGTGTGTCCATAAGAGACTGGTACAACCTTTTCCTCTACCATGGTCTTAATTTCTTATAATTTTCTTTCTCTTTCTCATACTCTTCCTCCTTTACAGCCATCTGCTACACCTTCCATCTTCCTCTTAATTCCTCTACCCCCAACTGATTTATTTTGTTTCCACGATCATTCTGATTTCATTTATTCTCAATTTCAACATCTTATCATGCTGAGCCATCCGTTCACATTGATAATTTCCCTATCTATTTTTTGATGAATACTTAAGCCATTAACAATCAAACCATTATTAAACTTTCCTTGCTTTATAAAAAATTTTTAATACCTTTGTTTATTTGACCTCACTGTCACCATGTCTAACAGAAGTTTATTATCAGTATTATTACCATCCTGTTAAAATAAGTATATATATTTGCGATTGTACAGATTTGAAAATGAATTCGCCAAAAAGAGAACTCTTTGCTGAACTAATCTTTCTTAATTAAACTACTCTTTGTCAATGCTAATCTTGCTCAAATTTTGATAGTACATATTATATTTTAACCGTCACTTAATAGACCATATTGCTTTTATTTGTTGAAAATTTTCAGTAGTTTAAGCATCATTACTGACATTGATTTCAATCAATAATGTATTAATTGAAGTAAATTTAGCAAGACTATAATTTATGGTCGAAACAATCAGGTATAAGATAACAGGTCTCGGATTTTGGTGAGAAATTCACTCATCCATTTGCTTAAATAGAGTCTCGGCATTATAACTGATGTCAGTTCGTGATGAAAAGCATAAATTTAATTCATAACCTTAACTGTCCACTGTAAATCATAATTCGAATTCCTCACACTGCTTTATAACCCTCACATTTGATCCCAGTTATTAGGTGAACACCTTCAAGGTCACTTTAGCGTTGTTCACAGGTCGTCCATAAATTTTAGGCTCACCGTAATTTTTTTTAATTTAGGAAACGTTTTGTTGTTATAAATGAAACGTGGTTATTTTTGTATATTTTCTAAATTTTGATAATCCCTACTATATTCTATGAGGTTAACAGAAAAATGCATCGGAGTACATTTAAGTATAAAATATCAATTTAAACGGAAAAAATAATACAAATCGTAGAATTCACCATTAAAGGACCATAGATTTTACTACTTTATTTGGTAAAATCGGAGTCATGTTAGAAACAAAAATAAATACTAACATATGAGTTAGGCAGAGTAATTATTCAAACATTTGAAGGGACAAAACTAAAAAAATGATCGAGGGGAACTGAAATAATTGCTGTAGAAATTTGACATAATAAGATACATACCATTTTATTATGGTTTGAAAATAGACAAAATGAATAGTACACCTTAGGTTGAACTAGGCTCAACCCTATCATTCTGTTTATGCTTCAAAATTAACTAATAAACAAAAAAATGTTCTCCAGCTTGATGATAAGATAATACTTTCTAAATCTAATTCTTATACAATTAAGATAGTTAATAGTAGCTAAAGATGAAGTCCATTAACAGTGATCATATCAGTGAGACTACGTATCACAGATGTATAAAAAGTAGAAATACGATTCAGTAAACTTCGTAAATGTGATCTTTTACAAACGCACAAGGATCATAGGGAGTCTAAATTTCAATACCCAATAATAACCTAAATGCTATACATAGACTCACGTAAACAATAATAATACTGCGTTACTATCAGCTGTGGACAGTGTTGTAGGATTCCAGTTGGTTTCATTGTTTAAATCACTAACTAATCGTAGATGGACCACTACTGAAAACCAGGGAATACTGGATAGCCTTTCCGTCCTAAGATTACTTAGCAGGAATCCAATGGTGTACTGGTGTATCTTTGATCAGTTCACGATGTTGCGCAGTCATCTTTCATTGTATGAGGTGAATAACTTAATTAACCGTGTCTGATTTCTACCGATCACTGCGTCTCAAAAGAACTTCAAGAATTTCATCTTGAAGCCAATTAATAATAAAAAGTAATTATTATCATAATATGGTTTAGCGCCATTTGTCGGAAGCGATTCAGTACAACTATTTGTTTACTTTAACCTCAGTTGGATATTCAGAGATCCCATCCACTTTTTGCTGAAACATCAGATTTCTGATAATAATCAGTCAATAATTTCAGTATCCCTAGTATACTATACTACTAATTATTTTCTGTAGGAAAACGAACCGACATTTTAACAGTAAGGTTTATAAACGAAAAAATGTTATATTTGCTTTACAAAAACATTTTGGTTTGTTTTTTATTCAAACTAGAGTATATAAATACCTTGTAGTTTTTTCTTAGACTCGGGTGAATTGTCGAAAGATTCATTTTCACTAAGTACTGTGTACTGTCTTTCATTAGCATTATCGTCGATTGAATTGTCAGCAATATTTAATTCACAATCTTCATCATCTACAAAACATCCTTGAACCACAATTTGATCCGACAAATCATCTGTATTGACGATTTCAGCTCTGTTGTTAGTTTCACTAAAATACTTCGATGGCTTTGATTCAAAAACATTTGGATTCATTTGAGGTATATTTATATCACTTGACAAAAGAGAAGGATGTGTACCACTTGACTCTGAAATGAATAAGCCTTCTCTATCTGATTTCTTCTGATTCAGTAGAGGGTTAGTCAATGGAACATCATTCTTAGAATTCACCTACAATGAATAAAATGTGGACTATGTAAGAAATTCAAAAACTATAACCCTACACAAACATTATGACAGCTAAGTGTACCTTTATAATTTACGTGTTATCTACTGAATGAGATAATTGATACTTAGTGAAATCTAGTTTATAACACATAACGAGGATACTTTTCAGTGTATCAGTCAATATCTAGGAGTCTTGCGGCTATAATTCATGTTTCAAACACATGAAAAGTCAATCAACTCTTAATGAAGTATATAATATCTAGCAATTCTACTTTAATTCACAAGATAGGATTTGATCGATGAAAATCAAATCTCCCAGAAAAAAAAAAACAAATTTCTGTGCATTTATGTTTAAGAGAAAAGTGAATAACCTACATTACTCACTAGAAATTTATTTAATGTCTAGTTTACTTTCTCATTTGTAATAAGAGATATTTTTCTTTTCAATTGATCAGAACAATTACAAAATCTTGGAAAAGACATTTTACATTAAACTCATGGAAACCTAAATTGTCCACTTATAAAAACAAAAAACTATTTCAATATACTTAAAATTATGCAACTTTTTGGTTTGAATTATAAAGGTGTATTTCGTAACAATCTATTAACACAGTTCATTTGTGTCATTTTTCTAATATGATTGTCTAAGCCTTCAAAAAGCCATTACACCACATATTCCCGTTAGATGTTCATGATCAATGTTCCCCTCTTCATTATTTGATTGAAATTACTATTATTCAAAAGCATGCAATAACTTGTATTCCTTTATACTTTATTCTAAATAACAAGTTTAGTATTCTAAGGTTTCAAATTGACTGAAACAATTGTGATCGATTTTATTTACGAAATTAAGCTTGATGATCTGATTAAAATCCAAACAGTGACCAACAATAAAATAACCTCCTTTTTTAAGCAGGATTGCATAGGGGCTAGCAAGGAAAGTAAGTTCGCCTGTTTCGTTCTTTTCTGGATTCGCCAGCTGTACGTACCAGAACCCCAGTACAAATATTCACATATGGACTTTAACCAAGTACCTTTTACTTGAAATGCCTAACGCGTTATCCACTGAGATACTGAGTCCAGATAGCCACTGGCTTGTGTAACGGAGTGAATTTTAATCTATTTATTTTGGTTATTTGAATATTCCCTGGAATGTTCAGTGGACTCAGTATCTTAGAAGATAACGCGTTAGGCTTTAGAAGCACAGGAGTACTAGTATATCCAGCTATTGAGTCTCTAATAGGACAAAACGCACGTACTGCATTTCAAGAATAATCGCTATCCGACCCTCCTAAAGTATGCTTGTGACTTAATGTGAGCATCGAAGTAATCCTCACACGGTGCTTATACACCGGAAAAGATTGATAAATTGCAGTTCATAACATCAACAGGAAGATCCAAATAACCAGTCCGAAAGGAATTAAATAACTTTTTATTTGTAGTATTTACCAGACTACACAAAGTGTTATAAGGTGAAAAAGTTGTAGTCTTGAATACAAAATTAGTTTTCTATGTTTCACTTCATAAACGTAAACTCTATTCATAAGAGGGAAATGAACTAAAATCGTTGATGGGTATACTTTTTACACTGAAATATATACTATCAAAGAGAAAACATTTTCAGCTACCTACTTGACATTAAATCTCAAATTTTCAAATGAATTAATCTTATCTAGCGTAAAATGTAATTCAAAGATACAAAACATATGTAGCTGAACAAAAGTTTCAATTTTCAGCGTCTGAATAGTACTTTTATTAACAAATATCTACCTCAATTTTAATCTTAGTAGGAAAAGAGATAGCTTTTAAATAGTCAGTTTGATTGTATAATGCCAAAGTAAAACGGTATTTATTATTAAATGTGATCTACCTTTTGAGCATTATTTTCCTCTGTCCGCTCCTTTCGTATAACATTCTTTTCTTTTGAAAAATTGTATTTTAAATCATTGCTTGTTATTTTCACTTCAGGATTATTTAACTGTCCATTTATAGTGAACTCTGGAACTTGACGTGTATACCTGTAAATATGTAAGTATTGAATAAGTAAACTTGAATGTTAGAATTTTGCAATATTTATCATCCACAAAATATTGGAATTGCTATAAACCAAATTATATACATATAATAAGTCGACATTCTAACGTATTTGTAATTCAATGAAACATTTTTTTTCTGAACGTAAATAAAACTACGGCATAATTATAAAATAATTGGCACTTAACAAAAGTAAAGTGCGATTATATATGTACCCGTGTATTCAATTATGTGAAGTAATTAACCAATAATTCTAATCTCTGGCATTATATACCATACAGACCCCAAATAATATTCACTTTGTAGACAGTTACGCAACATATTTAAAATTACATATGAAAGTATATGGTGGTTTGAAATATGTCACCAGTTTATTTAGTCAGTATAGTTAATTAGTTACTAAATTTATGAAATGAGGTATAACTATGAGTCTCGAAGACTTGTATATAGATCACTGGTTTACTACGTTATATGTTTTTTTTTAAAATTCATTATTTCTAGCAATGAATTCTACTTACAGCCTGAGTTCACAGTACAGCTACTACAATAATTAACCCAATAAACTGTAGAATAAAATAGTCATATAGATTTTGCATACATCTCATTGGTAGTTCACTTACATAATGACCAATAAAAATAATTTAAGGGGATGCCCCATTATTAAATAGTATATTTAATAACAGTTGAGTAACGTTAAATGCAGCAAATATTATAAATAACATTAAATAAATCTTATTAAAACATTACAATTTAATAAATAACTTTGATTATCAGTCGTGACAATAATATTTAAGTAGTTCGATGAATAAATCAATGTCATAGTCGACGCCCATATAGTTTTGTTCGGCTTATTTTATCCTTTAATAATAAATAATACTAATGTTGTCAGTATAGGTTTGCGGAGATTGTTGAGTTTCATTTAAATCATGAATCAGTTCATGTTAACATTAATTTGTTCAGAATTTCAAGGATTAATGTTTATGACTATAGTTTGGGAGATAAAAATGAACCTTAGAATAATAATAATAATCAGTTTATTCAATATTATACACTTAGTACAATATGAAATTCTCAGCATACAATAATTTCAACAACTTCCTCGTACTGTAAAAAGACGTTACAAAATGTATAAATATATGAATTCTTAAAATAAATAAAAAATTTGTCCAAAGTTAACAAGCAATACATTAATGGAGAATCGGCGACATGTTCAAGTGCATAGATTTTTGGTTAATTAAACTCTAACAACTTGTCCGTTGTGGAGTATATGTCCTAGGTATGGTATTATAAAGCATGTGTACTTGTGTTTGAGAGTATGAATCGTAATATAATTGCATTTCATTCTACTAGAAGGTCTACAAGTAGGAAGATGTGAATAGTCGTTTCTTAGTATAAACTTAGGAATGATTACATTTTATTTAATAGGGAATTAGTTTGGACTTAAAAATTGTTACAATGGTAAACTTTTAAAAGATTTTAAATTGTGAAACTATGATATAACAGAAGTTAGATTATATTATATATTTTACACCCAGTAACTTTGTGTCCCATAAACAGCATAATACCCATAGAATATTGAGCTGAAAACTAATGGCACACATATTCATTTAGCTTACAATATATGTGAATAAAATGCTAGGTAAATATGAATTCAGTTCAAAACAATTTAGGAAATAATTCAAATATTGATTGAATATTGCCAGTAATTGTGACAAGCCACCTTTAAAATGTCGTTTGAGTTAAATAAAGCGGGAATTACAGATTGAAATTTGATGAATTACACAATAAGCTATATACGTATTGAAATATCTGTAGAATGGTTTTAAATTAGAATAGCAATTCCTTGGTAAACTAGATAAACATGAATAATAATAAGTAAAAATAACGGTGTAGCATGTTTTTCTAATTTAATATTATCACTTTGTATTTATTTACCTTCGAATAAATTGATTGTACTAACCATTATGAAACAAATTATCAGTTTATATTTAAATATTTAATAGGGTTAATGTTGAATCATTTATATTCATTATAAATCTGGTTGTGGACAGATATATCCGATTTTGCAGACAATTGTTCAATATTACTTTATTCATACTAACCATTTGTCTTATTGACAGAATTCTTCTTGTGAATCCTATGAATTAGCAATAAATAATTACGGTGGAATGCATACACACTCAAGGAGAAATAATAAGAAATAATAAAGAAATGGTTCATTAGCCACATGTTATAAATACAAAATACTTTGGAGAGTGAAGTAACTTAACATGTTGACTATAGATAACAAAATGTTTTTTGATTATTTTTGAGTCGTTACAGTCATAATTCAGCGCAACTTATTTGTAGTTTGTTAAATTTGAAATTAACTGACGACTGTTGAATTGTATTATATAGTGTCTAATTAAACAATTATAATTACTTGTATAATACAACACTGAAAATTAGGAAAGAAATATTTCCCGGTTTTCGCATCTACACAGAAAACGACAATTCTAAAGGTGTCTAATTGAAAAACCTTTGATTGAAAAGAATTAAGAGTTGTAGTTTATTTATGGATGATAACTAAGTATGCAAGAAATAAAAACAAACATAGTTGAGAATAGAATATTTAAATACAACAAAATTCGCATATAAGATAAGTTTCGTCTTAATTTATTCTTTTCATTAGAGTGATGAAATACACCTGAAACGTTTTATTAAGTTACTTGCGTTAAAATAAAGGCAAGATAAAGACAACAGTGATTTTTATTTTAAGTTACAATTTAGAATTGGTCATAAGATTTTAAAACTTATTCACTAAATCTCATGGATTAAATTATTAAATTACTACAATCTCCACAAAACTTCTCTCTGATTATAATCATAATATGCTCACTAGTGACTATCTCCAAGAGTTATTTCCTGGAGTTGTAATGAGAATCCGTGTGTTGTGAGATAATAACTCACTAAAGACAACAGTGGACGGTGGCACGATTTCGTGGATTATTTGGAGCCAGACATTAACACCGTAGAATGCCGGCCGGCTCAGTGATCTAGAGGTTAAGCGTTCGCGCGCAAGACTTATAGGTACTGGGTTCGAATTTCGCGGGGCGAAATCGTGGATGCACACTGCTGAGGATTCCCATACTAGGATGAAACGGTCGTCTAGTGCTTGTACGTTTTCCATGGTGTTCTAGCTTCAATTGACTCAATTATTAAATTACTACAATCTCCACAAAAAACCCTTCTGATAATAATAATAGTAATAGTTAAATAAAATTAACGTCATGAAAATACAAAATCAAAAGATAGTTTATACATAAGTCATATTAAGTTATTCTATAATTAAAATCACTGTTGATTTATTGAACTTGATGTTGATGAAGTTAAGTAAAGGTATTAAACATACTTTTGATTGAAAGAGTGATAGGTAAAAGGTTATTTATTTAAAAGTAGTGAATGTATAAAACGTTAACAGACAAATTCTTTTCATAATTCCTTTTTGATGGAAATTTGTTCTCTGAGCTGGATGGTTTGGTCGTAGAGCTTTCATAGTTCCTATGAACGACATCATCAGCACAAACTTCAGATAGAAGTCATAATTCATAATTCCTTATTCAAATTTTTTTATAAAAAGACTAAATTAAACTTATCATTCTGAAATTTCTATAGACCAGATAGAAAGTTGTCATTATAAGAAGGAAAAACTCTTGAAACTAATCATATAAAAGAATCAACAGTATTATTTATTTGTATAAAGATTAGAAAATATGATATCATTATTTGATTTTTAATTTTCATTATTAAAATAAGATAAGCCGTGACCAGTGGAGCTAATCTGTGTCGGGTAGAAACAGGTGTCTACCTCAGTGCAATGGAAAATGGTCGCGCAATTTCGTGGATTCGTTGAGGTTAGACATTAACATCATTGGATGCCGGCTCAGTGGTTCAGTAGGTTAAGCGTTCGCGCGTGAGACTGAAGGCCCCGGGTTCGAATCCCGCAAGCGGGATCGCGGATGCGCACTGCTGAGGAGTCCCACAATAGGACGAAACGGCCTTCTAGTGCTTCCAGGTTTTCGATGGTGGTCTAACATTAACCGGCTCATGATCTCAACCAAAACCTAACAATATTCACAACCAATACACTGATAAAATGTGAAATAAACGTTGATTGAATTACTGAAGAAAATTACTCAATTAACTTGATTCTTTTTCTTTTGATTTGTGAATGTTAACACACGAATTAATTACATAATGTTCATTCTTCTTAAATCAATCTTTCATCATACATCTTATCAAGGAAATATTTTTAAAATAGATTTCGATAAAGATCTTAATTTAAATAGAATCATAAATTAAAGTAAAATATTTTATTGAACATAAATACATTTCTCATGAATTTTTAAAGAAGAGAATCTATTGTTGTTTTGTTTTCGTAAGGGGATAGAAATTTTAATCTCAATACATCCTTTTACATTAATTATTAGCAGTAAAGGATTTTTATTAACGTTGGCATAACAACTGTTTAGTATGAAATTTACTTTACATTTCCAAACTGAGTTTCTTTACAAAATATCAAGTATGTAGGGAATTATGTGAAATTCAAATGAATAGGATTGTGATTAGAGGTAGTCGACAGGAAACCCTGAACCCGGGTTTCGTGTTATTTGGCACTCGTCAGCAAGTTGTACCTGTAATCTTGAGGGAACTAGTATTTCCTTACGGATTCGATACCGTGTCACCCAGCTTCACAGTCAAAGACATTACCACTGAGCTATCCGGACCGACCTCGTGTAGGATCGAATCCGTCAGGGAGCACCAGTTCCCTCAAAATTACAGGTACACCTTGATGAAGAGTGCCAAATAGCACGAAACCCGGGTCCTGTTGACTAACTCCAACCAACATCTTATCTCAACATAGTGCATGCAGTGTCAAGTCACATAAACTGGTGGCCACATTGCAGCTTGTTCGATAGCATTCAATCTGCACTACGAAGGACTTGACACGCATGGCACTGATTACCACCACCCAGTGATCAATCAATTTTGAATTCAAATGAACATGTACATTTAATTTAAATCATGATATTTTTTATTTCCAAAGAAAATCCGATGACTACAATGTATAACATACGAACAGTATCATAAACATTTACATTTCTACTGGTAACATTATTTTTACGCTAAGTTATTCTAATTACTCATTTAAGCCATTTTTCATCACTGAAATTGTATTAATACTTGAATATTAGTTTCACATGAATAAATACAATTCAGTATCTTGTATTGTTATAATAAAAACCACACTTATCATTTATTGTAAAGCAATTCTTAACAACATTGAGAATTCATTATATTAAATTTTATGAAACCTGGGTATGCTAGTAAGTTATTTTACAGTACATAACAAAAGTTGTTTAGTTAAGCTTTTATTCGGAGAAAGAAAAAAACACTTTGTCCAAATAAATCTAAACTTCAACACTGTTACATAATGAAATAAAAATAAATCGACTTCAAATTCAAACACAGGAATGATTGTAATCAACATTGGTAATATAAGTTAATAATAGCTATCAGTACCATAAGTATTTTTTTAAAAAAAACTAATACATTTTAGTTATTTTGTTACTAGGTATTAATTTATTTTATTCCAGTTATAGTTGATAAGATCAGTTTAAGTATTAAATTATTACACCGCCAGGTATTTCTTTTACATTTGTGTACAAAATATAACAAGACTAGAACTATTTATAAATTTATCAACTACAATTTCAACTTATGAAATTTTCATTGGTAATATTAGTTCTATGTCAGAAGTTATTAACATACTTTAAACAAATCTATAATTTAACGTAAAAACACAATAATTTTTTTTAATTATTTATAAATAGTTCACTTTCGTGAATAGAAGTATAATTGAATTGAAACATTAAAATGATATGAACACCAAAAAATAGAATAATAAGTTGTAGTTTTTATTGACCATCATTATAGTGATTGGATCTATATTGTTAATTTGAGCACGATTCAATAAAAATGAAAGAACTAGGAGAATGAAATTAACAACAGTCAAACAAGAACAAAGAAAGTCAAGGCACAAGCTGAATACACAGAAGTAAACAAGCGAGTGAAGAAGAGCATTAGAGTAAACAAAAAAAAACAAATATGCGGAAGACCTAGAAACGATAGTGGGAAAAGCTGCAACAGAAGAAAATATCAAACAATGATATGATACGATGAAGAACCTGGCAGGGAGATGTACTAAACCAGAGATACCAATCAAGGACCAAGAAGGTAATCAAACCACTGAAATTCAAAAACAAAGGAACAGATGAGAATAACATTTTCAGGAACTCTTGAATTGACTAGCTCCATTGAATCCGCCGTACATAGAAACGGCATACACACATGCCTGCCTATAGCTGTCACACTACCAAATATCGAAGAAATCAAGATGGTCATCAGACAAGTGGTGAGTGGATAAGCAGTAGGATCTGAGAATATACCTGGTGAACTATAGAGGTATCACACTAGAATCAGTATCAAGGAGTTTTCAACAGAGTATTGCTCAACCGGATGAAAGATTCAGTAGACGCTCATTTTTGAGATCAACAGACCGGCTTCCGTGAGGTTAAGTTGTGCCCAGATCAAATTATGACATTATGGGTCATTGTTGAACAATCAATTGAATGGAACTCGTCACTTTACATCACCTTTCTTAACTTTGAGAAAGCGTTTGACAGTGAATAAGAGAACATTATAGAATCCTCCTTGACACTATGGAGTGAGTAGCTGAGAAGATCGCCAAAACCGTACAGAATTCATACAACGGACTACACAGCAAATTCGAACACGGAGAACAGCTGACAGATGCATTTCGAATGAGAACCGGTGACAGATAGGACTGTTTACTCTCCTTAGTTCTCTCTCACCTGATGGTTGACTGGATTACGAAGACCTACACATCTGAGGAGAAACACGTAACACAATAGGAATCTTGGATGTAGCTGAAGGATTTGTAATTTGAAGATGACATAGCTCTTCTATCTCATACACATCAATAAATACATGTGAAGAAAGTCAGTGTAGTTGCATACTTTACAGCAGTAGACCTCAACACACAAAAGAATAAGCAAGATTTCGAAATACAACACAATGTGCACCAACCCAATAACACTTGATAGAGAAAATTTGGATGAGATGGGTAGCAGCATCATCTATGAACAAGGAGTATTTGATGCAGAAGTAAAGGGGAGGTTCGGTAAAGCAAGAGTAGCATTCCTACAACTGAAGAACACATAAAACTCGGAACAATTGTCAACCAACATCAAAGTCAGATTTTTCAATACGAATATCAAGACAGTTCTTGTGAACGGAGCTGAAACTTGGAAAACTACCACAACAATCACCTAAAAAGGTGCAAGTATTTATAAACAATCATCTAGGTAAGATACCCAATGTTCGTCCTCCACATCCGTGAGAGGTTGTAGGCCTAAGTAAGTAAGTTTTCATTGAATGAACCAGTTTTCAACTTTCTATGATTAAGATAAGATGAAGCTTTTCACTTATAATGTAACAACTTATCTATGTTTAGCCTTTCTCATTATAATTGATAATTCTGCTATTTTTACTCTTTTGACATTGTTATTTTAATATTTTGATGCTTATTTATTTTGAGAACCCATGTTAACACGTTTAAACCTAGCTCTATCTTAGATATGATTAAATCAACAGACTATCTTTGATTGTATTTTAGTAGTGACATCTTGGTAAGTATTTACTGATATAATTACTATACCGCGATAACTAATATTGTACAATACAATTAGAGCTTCGGAAGACTGTTAGCACTCTGAGACTGTTATAAATTGCATTTCAGCGATTAATTCTAATTTGAAAATGTTGTCTGTTTTTTGCAAAGACAAAATTTTAAAAGTTTATTCCACTTAAAATTATCTGAAATCAGAATACTTCAACATCAGTTCTTGAATTTCATAAGACACAAACTAGAAAGCTCATTTTTAATGTCAAACAATATAGATAATTAGGGAATAACAAATTTTATCCTATAAGTTTCGAAGTGCATTTTCAGATGCAAAAGTAACTCATGACTTTAGCTGTCAGCTCTATGGTCAATTATCTTATTATGAAATTATTATCATTATTATTAATGGCTTTATTCAATATTATATTTTGGTACAATATAAAATTCTCAGCACAGGATATTTCAACAAGTTACTCACGCAAAAAAAATCAGTGACAAAGACAAAAAAAAAGAAAAAAAAGGGTCAAAAAAAGAACTGAAAAACTGCACAACTTTTCAAATTAAAGACATGTTAAGAATGCAGGTTATTGACTACGTTAACTCTAACAACCTGTTCGTCACAGAGTATATTTGCTAGGTAAGGTATTATAGAACTTTTATACTTTTGCTTGTGTGAATGGATTTTAATGTAATTATACAAGGAGAAAGATAAGATTGAAAGGGATGGTTAGTATGTGGTAAAATAACACCTGCCAGGAGTTTGCATGATTTTAGATGTCTATCCACAACCGTAATAATTATGGCCTCGAAAGATTCGCCACACACCTTTCTGACTGCCTTCAGCACTCTCTGAAATATAGCAGTCTTTTCTCAAAAGCCCGGGAAAGAATAATGGAGAACAGTAAAGAATAATAGGTAATATGCAAAATTTGACAAATTGTAAGAGCAAATGACGAGTCATCCCAAGAGCATGCAATCTCTTTATGTAGTAAGTCAGACGGAAAACCTTCTTCGGTAACAATAAAACGTGGGAAGACCAAGAGAGGTCAGAGGAAAAGGTAACACCAAGATAATTGACCTTCGACACTGCGTTTACCAAAGAGTCTCCAATGGCACCGTAAAACATTAAAATCTCTCAAAAATTAGATTAAAATGTAACTGTATCTCTTTATAACCAGCAACCAGAATAATAAATGATTCACATTGTGTAAAAAGTTTCACTTACCGATCAAATGATGATCCATTCCAGCATCGATTTTTATCTTCTTGTGAACAATAAAGTAACTCAATATTACTCATATACTGAACTTTATTGTCTCTGTCATGAAGATATGAATTTAGATCTTTCGCAACTTTCTCAATGAAATTGTTTAATTTATCGTATTCCTCAGTGTTAAGTTGCAAATAATTACTCATTGTTTCATTTAGTGTATGATCATTTCCATTTAAGTTACTGAACAAACCTATAGTAGTTTGTAAAGTACGCGGCTTATTTTTTCTACAAAACTTCTCAAGCTATAAACAAAATAAAAAGGAAATTACAACTTTGGCAATATATATATATATATATATATATATATATATATATATATATATATATATATATATATATATATATATATATATATATATATTACCGTGTATACCTTAACACCGGTGTAATTTAGGTATCACGACTTTGTTTTATATGGACTTTTGATGTTTTGTCCATCATTATTTATTTCTTGAGATAAACATTTTATTTTTTATAATATTATTAGTTAGGATTAGGATTATCCCACCCTGATACAGTTAGCTAAGTTCTGACCAGTCTATGTTGGCAATCGCGTATCCTGTGAGGTTGCCCTCGATACAGCCATCTGGTAACAAGTTCTATTAAACAGATGAATTGCATTTATGAGTAGAATGTAGAGCAGACGTTTCATCTTGGCCAAGATTCTTCAGCCATAATAATTTGCATTCTAGTATTTCTGTTTACATAGAGACTCAAGCCACATGTCTTTCGCTTTAGGAGTTCATTACGTTACTCATTAGCTAGTAATTACGGATAGCCGCTAACTTGTTCAATGTTTGTGATACTTTTAGAATTATCAGAATCTGTTTGAACTGTCCCGATTAAACTCAGTGAATAGAACGAAACTCCTGTTTTGCCGCTAACCATAACCCATATGTTCCATAAAACATAAATGTGTCAACATGTGTGCTTCATTGTACATTTAAAATAGTGCTGAAATTCATATTGAACAATCAGTTACTTTATAAGCGGTTATATTACTTAAATCTCAATTAGGTTAATTATCGACTTTATTATTATTTTTATGACTGGTTTTGTTGTTTAGCTTTGTATTTTTGTGCTAACTTTGATCTTTATATTAATGCTAATATCTACTATGTTAATAACGTTCTTTGACTAAGATATGATGAGGTCAAACAACGAAACTTAATAAACAAACAGCTTTGTTGACCGTAGTTGTTGAATATACTTAAGAAATTTAAGATTACAATTGGAACACCAATCAACATAAACCAGACATAGAATCGCGCAATACGATCCTTAAAAGTCGATAGATATTAGAAAAACTTACTTTGGGTTGGATTAAGGCTTCATTTTCGTTGGCTTCTTTAATCCCTTTTTTAATTAAATGATACACAGTAGTGGCACTTAAAAAGTAGCTCAAATCATCAAAACGAATTGGGTTTGAGTAACTCCATGCTAACTTCTGATTTGAATAGATGAATTGTTTAGGAAAAAATAAGATAGACGGAGCTAAACATCCGCGAAAAACATTTATACAGTAACTGTTGCATGGGTTTGAACATACTTGTTTAGTATCCGCTGCAAAACATTTATCTAAATTCGGGCAACCCAAACTGAGGTCCCTCATACAATGACTGCACGATTTGCTGGGTCCTGAATTCAAAACTGTTCTCGTCATCTGAAACATCCAAGTTCAGTAATATTAAAAGTGAATAAATGGTCTGAATCAGAGAGGCGATAAGCATTTAAATAAGCTTGCTTTCATTTAGCAAGTAATTATTGAACGATTCCCATTATATTAAAACACAATTGTATGAACGAAGAATATTCTTTTTAATAATTTTTCATCAGGTTCTACAATTATAAATCCAAATTAATAATCCATAAAATTGGCCGGATTTAAGGCAGAGTACATCCTTTGGAAGTCGTATTATGTGAATTAAGAATTGTTGTTTGTTATCAAATCAGATCGTTAATGTTGGGGCTGACTAATATGAAGTTGTTAATCAGACATATACGAAACAATTAAGCCGATAGGTACGCATTTACCTAGGTCATACGGACTGCCGGAGATACATAAACCGGATATTCCATTAAGGCCAATTTTGGACATGTACGATTACCCATATCATACTGTAGCAAAGCGGTTAGTAACCGTTTTGAAACCATTTCATAAACACCTGGTGAAACATAGTATTAAGAATGTATTCCGATTCGTTGACAAGATTAAAAACATAAACACGAAAGATCAAACGATGATGTCATTTGACGTAACATTATTGTTCACAAATGTCTCATTCAGAGAATCTGTAGAATATATTTGTGAACAATTTAGAAAACAGGAACTGGAAACGACAATCCCTGTGGAAATCATCAAAGAATTATTACTAAAATGTACTATGAATGTACATTTCAAATCCAGTGGTGAAATCTTCAGACAAATAGATGGTGTCGCAATGGGTTCACTCCTGGGTCCCATATTGGCAGAAATTTTCCTCTCTAAACTAGAAAACTACCCACTAGCACAAGAGATCGACAACTTTTCACTTTACTACCGATATATGGATAATGCATTTATCCTTTGTAACAACCAGACGGACTTCCTAGAAACACTCGAGCGTTTCAATACAGTTCACCCGTCCATAAAATTCGCATCGGTGAAGGAAAATGGGGGTAGAATAGCCTTTCTAGATGTTCTTACAAGGAGGAAAGACGGGTCGCTAAAAAGAAATATAAAAGGGAAAATTACCTGGAAGGGTCAATATACAAACTTTCTTGGTTTTGTTCCTCTACATTACAAAAGGAGCCTTATTAAGAGACTACATCATAGAATCAAGACTATATGCTCTGTGGATACGACTGAAGATGAAACAAAGGCATAAGCTCAACCCTGAAGGAAAATGGATGTCCCGAGAAACTTATAAATAAAAACGGCCAATAAAAGACAGCATAGAGAATGCCTAACTGTAAATAGAAAGCCTATGCATATACGCTTACAATTCAGAGACGATGCACCGAGTGAAATGCTAAGACTTATGTTAAGCAGATCAATTCAAAGGACTTTTAATGCGGGTAAACTGCAACTAACGTTCTCTACACGACCAATAATCACTCCGAGGTTGAAAGATAAATTACCTAAACTAGCCACTTCTCTCTGTATCGATCGTTTATCGCTAAATTTCATTTCACTTATAAACAGATTCAAGTTAAAAACTTCATATCAGTCAGCCCCAACATTAACGATCTGATTTGATAACAAACAACAATTCTTAATTCACATAATACGACTTCCAAAGGATGTACTCTGCCTTAAATCTGGCCAATTTTATGGATTATTAATTTGGATTTATAATTGTAGAACCTGATGAAAAATTATTAAAAAGAATATTCTTCGTTCATACAATTGTGTTTTAATTATTGAATGATTGTTGTACATTAATTACTTACCTTTTAACTTTTGCCTAAACTTTTTTACCATTATGACTCAGTCCAGTGATTTAGAAGCATATTTTTCATTTCGTTTTGTAAGAATGTAGTGAGAGCAGAAAAATTATCCAAAATAATCATTTGAATTTGATGTGAAAACTGTCTTATGAAGTCTTTTGACCACTTAGTGTTTATAAATTTAATTTAAGTTGAATAACAATATTTCAAAATCACAGCATATCTTAATGTTTAAAACTTTTACATAAATGTAAACGTTTGTGTTCTTCCTCAACAAACCTTTGAATCGTAGAGATCCCTAATACTTATTATTACTGAGCAGCAAAAAGTCCTCAGAGATGACTAAATTTTGAACTTTACGCTAAACTGCAATAGCCAGCAAATGCATCACTTGAAAGTTGCAAAGAAAGTAACATCTCGTGACCGAATAGACTCACGGAAACAACATTCTCCATTAAAAACTAATAAGAGAAACTGCTGTTATAATTTACTTTTCAGAAAACATAAAACACTTTAGATTCGATTAAATTATTTTTTCCTTGGACCATATCTAATGCCCCACCACGCAATTTCAGGCAACTAGTTTATCTATGCAAAAACGAGCTAACAAATATCATGAAATTGTAATGCTTTGAGTTGCTTAGCTTATATTTTAGGTGACGGGATTTGTGATTATTAACCAACTTTGCAAATTGATGTTTTGCTCAAATTTTAGTTGTAAAATTTACCTTATGCAAAATTTCTTGTCAAAAAATAACGTTCAATGGGTTAGTTTACTTAATAGACCTATTTTTCAACGAAGTAAAATAATATTACGTAAATGGACCCGTGAATGAGTGATGGATTTCTTCTTTCCATAGATTCATACTCTAAAAGCAAAGGTTCAATAAATAACAATTCTCAAACGATCTTCATGGCGAATCATATTCACGACAAATACATACTTTGAATGACCATTTTAACAGTTAGAACATGATGATTACCTACTTAATTCTGATTAATCTATTTATCTGAAAAATACTTATCAACTATAGTTGGCATTAAGTACCTCGAAATCCAGTTTTCGTCACTAATAATTGCTTCTCAACTCCTCAATATTAATAATGTTGTATTCAGTGCCATCATTAGTAAATAACGTCAACTTTCAGTTTTTATCGCCCTAGATTTTGTCATGAATTGATTTTGTATTTACATGATATTTGAATGCCAGCCTGGTAGTAACTTTAAACTAACACCATCAAAGTATTTCAGAAGACAACTTCATAAAAGAGTTCAATAAACTACCGGGCTGAGATACTCAAAAAAGCTTCCTATGTGTTGAGTCTCTTAGAAAAGTGAACCGTTCATTACCTATTTTACCATTGCTAACATTATTCAACGTTAAACGTTTTAGAATTAAAGTTATAGTTGTCAAAGGATTTGTCGACATGAACAACAGTTAATCTTTTCAAAGCTTGTTAACTTGACCCATATTATGTGGATCTTTTTAGCATAAGTGGAAAATTTCAAATATTTAAGGTTCACAGAAAATGTTTGAACATGAAGAAAAATCAACAACGTTACTGGTACTATTGTGCATAAGTTCGTTCAGTCGTTTTGTCACCTATATACATATGTATCTATATACCAATTACCTCTAATCAAATAAATAATATTATCTAAAAGTTTATTGAATAAAAGAACAAACTTGTAATAATTTTTGCGCATTAAGGTACCGCGTAAGACCAGAGCTAAAAGCTTTAAACCAATTGATTGTTAGGTCACCAAAGATGTTGACTGACTGAGCAGCAAACTCGTTTATTTTGAAACATTGCCGCAGTTCTGAAGCTGAGTAACCAAATTCTACGTTTCTTTTTTCGTAAGTTAGGATGGAAATCATGAGATTTTGCAGATGCTGGTCAATAACATTGTAAGATACTTCTGCAGGCAACGTTTTGAACATTTCTTCAACGCTGTGATAAAACTGTGATCCATGGATATAAAGTTCCATATCCGTAATATCACTGATCTTTGCGAAATCCAACAGGAGATTTTTGTTAAAGTGTATGAGTTTTGATGGGATCTCTATTTAAAATGTTATGATAATCCTGAAAGCCTAATTACCATTGAGATTAATAATAATCTTTTCAAGTTGTCTGTATCCTGTTATATCTTGAAATATCGCTTTATAACCATCCCTGGAATTCTTATACATAGATAACATCCTACATAAATTAAAATTATCAATTCCAGAAGAATTCATTGGTTTTGGATTCCGCGTCATATCCCCATATATGTAAAGGAATTCAGGCGTCAAAAAAGAGAGGAGAAAAAACCAGTACATTTAAAGCCACTCATCAAACTATATAGAATATGTTGCGCAGTAACATAAAATATAATTCAAGTTGCGTTGCAAAATATCCGAACCGTTGAAACAATTTGAAACTTTCAAACAAACGGTCTTTTACGAAGAACAAACTGTTTGCTCATCATGATATAGGTACATGCTGTTAGATATAGTTTTTATTCACAGTGTTTCTCGGATCTATAAATGCTGTTTAGTAAGAAGATGATATTGGTAACACTGGTCTATTTACCTGTGAGTCTAAAATAAACGTCAAGAATTTTTATGCAATAATCAGCATTAAGTACCACCAACTTTGCTTTCGGCAGTCAATTCCACAGTTTACTGACTTGAAATTTCCTAGGTGTTTTCTGTGCATTCTCGTTCATCTTCCATTGAAGATTCAGATTCAGATTCAGATTTGTGTAGTAAGGAGAGAATGCCTACGGCCTATGTTATTCCTTTTCTAGTATGCTTCTGTGAGTGTCCAGTCTTCTCTTGAAAGAGTCAATTGAAGGTGCGGACACCACTGCTTCAGGCAGCAGGTTCCAAGTATTGATGACTCGGTGTGAAAACCTGTATGCCACGGGTATTTTGTTCGTTCTTGGCTTTTCTACTCGCCTGCTATGTCCTCTGAGGTGTCCCGATCTAGTGGGAAGAAAGAGAGAGAATAAGTTAGGTCCGAAATCATTTCTCAGTATTCTGTACATCAATATTAGATCTCCCCTTAGTCTGCGATAGGACAGAGTAAAGAGGTTCAGTTTTTCAAGCCGCTCTTTATATGATAAACCTCGGAGTTCCGGAATCGCACGCGTAGCTGCCCTCTGTACCTTTTCTATTATGTCCGAGTCACCTTTGAAACAGGGGCTTGCAGCCTGAACACAGTTCTCTAACTTAGTTCTCACTAAGGATGTGTATAATGTGGTGAACATGGTAGTATCAAGCTTAGTGAATGTCCTTTTTAAAACCCAGAGGGTTCGAAACCCCTTAACTGCGACCCCCCGGCAATGGGCCGTCGTCTTAAGATCATTGCTCACTGTCACCCCTAGGTCCTTATGAGACCGGACTACGGGTAATGACACATCCCCTATGTTGTACGTATTAACCTTTGGATCCCCCAAGTGCATGTAGACACACTTTTCCGAGTTGATAGGCATTAGCCACTCTTTAGACCAGTTTATCATATTATTTAAGTCCGCCTGAAGAGTAAATGCGTCTTTGTCTCCAGTTATTACTCGCCAAATTTTTACATCGTCAGCGTATAATAACACTGGAGACTGTACTATACTTGTAAGATCATTAACGTACATTATAAAAAGTAAAGGACCTAAGACGGATACTACAAGAATTTGGAGTTTGACAACACCTTAACTAGTAACAACTTCTATAATCGAAAAGTACCAACCCAGTGAAATCACAAGTCAGAAGCGAGGAGGTTCGAAGATATATTTGAGAGGCTATCAGTATATCGGGAAATAACTGATCTAAGCTGGCTAGCTGTTGTAGGAGAAGTCGAGCAGATGCGTGACCCAGCGCCTTCAGCTAGGTGAGTCCATTAAAACTAATCGTGTAGGAGTTTTGACCCATATTCATTAAAGACGATGAGGGATCCATGAATTACCCCGGAAGTCGAAGTGTCGTCCCATAGACGAGTTGTGATGCAGTATATCCAATATCAGCCTTTACCGCATTGCGCATATTAAGTAAAATGAACGGAAGAGTGTTGGTCTGTTGAATTGTGGTCTACTTCGTTATTAGTACCGCTCCAATAATAGACCTAATCCTAGAGTTTTAAATTTGTCATTTCGTAACTGCCTAATCTATAAGATCTTACGTGGAAGTCACATAATTGTCTACACTGACTCGTGCGTATATATATTTTCTCCATGTCACTAACTCGTGTATCGTAACAATCACCAATATATGCTGTAAAACACATTCAGGGTGAAGATGGAACAATATTTTTAATATGAGTAAAAACAAGTTTTACAGAGTGACTGCAGCTGCGAGGCTGAGCCATTCCACTCGTTCGGATTTAATTAAATTCCCTCTTCTCGCCCTCTCCATCGTTAAATTTTTCTCCGCGCTAAATTTTGAATATCTTGTTTCTCAGTTGTCTCGTTTTCAGCTTTGATAATTGTGTGGTTAGGATTCAATGCTATTACAGATCAGCAGTGATTCACTTTCAGCTGAGCGAAGCTTTTAACTGTTTGTAAAATCGTTCTATAGACGATTTGCTTATGGATAGTTGTAGTGTTTATATGACCCACTTATTTTTTGCACTTGGTGACTGCCTGACCTTGAATTTCGAATACAACATGTCCATTTGTGCTCCCCTAGTTTTGTTTTGCTTAAATTGAACTATTTGAGGGAATCCTAGTTCGTATAATAATTCGAGTACTTCTATTCATCATATTGGCATCGTGATGGTGCTATGACAGAACAATTAGACATGCATTCAAATGATGGTGCTCACCAGGAGTATATGAATGTAAAGGAGACCCAGGACCGGAAACCCAAGACCGTCTAAAAATACTACAAAAAACCAGAGTTTCTATTCATAAACGAACTTTGGAATAAGGCATTTCTTCCATATTTCGTGCAGAAAAAACCGGAAACGCTGTACACCGAAAGTGTATTCTAGAAGATTCAAGCCGCGAACAGCTGAAGCAAAAATAGCTCTTAAGAGAACCGGTTCCCATAATCATGAAAAGCATGTTCCTCTCAAGATTAATGGGTATAATGCGCCCTTACAGTTTGACGCACCTACCTATAGGAATTCACCAAGTAGGGAGTACTATTTTTGATGGAACATCCATCCCTCGGCATATTAGGACCTGACTTTATAAAAAGCTTAAATGATTGGGTATCAAACCACTTCTAATTGATTGGCACACTTCATATCTGAAAAATTGACATTTAAAGGTCAGGGTTAACTTCACTTTATCTCAGGTTATGGAATGTTCTAGTAGGGTCAACCAGGGCTCAGTACTAGGACCTCCACTCTCCTTGATTTATACAAATGATCTTCCACAACAAGTGTCGTCAGAGTTATTGCTTTTTGTTGATGACGTGAAACTTTTGAGAGAAATACTTAATTAAGAGGATATATAGGCACTTCAGGTGGATCTGACTCGACTTCAAAGTTGAGCAGACGATAACAGACTTACGTTCGACATTTCAAAGTATAAATTAGTCCATCTGAGACATGTAGCAGACTACAGTTACAACTTGAGAAACTCCTCTATAGTAGTATCTCGAGTCGAAAAAGATTTGGGAGTCCTGGTGCCCTACGATTTGAAGTCGTACGCTAACTGTGACAAAAATATCTTTCTAGCAAACCTTGCACTGGTAACATTGACGCGCATTTTTGGCCAGTTTGATGGAATAACTTTTAACATAATCTTCAACAGTTTCATTCGTCTCCATTTAGAGTATAGAAACACAATATTTCCTCCCTTACTTCAAAAGGATAAGGACACTCTGAACAGTATCCAACGGCAAGCCACGAAATCAGTTCAGGGACTCAAATTCAAACCTTATGAAGAGATCTTACAATCACTTGAACTCTACCCACTAGAGTACAGGCATCTTAGAGGTGACCATTTTATGGCTTACAGTATCCTTAGCACTTCTGGACATCCCCTTAAACACCTAATTGAGCTAGGCCTCAACACAAAACTAAGAGGTGGCACCCAGAAATTGGAGATACAACATGGCAGAACGGACTGTAGACACAACTCCTACTACTTGAGAGTTGTCAAGTGATGGTGTAGTGAAACACATTTATCACGAGAACACGACTGGTTTAATAAAAACAATTATTATCATAAAGAACTGTGCCAGTGTTTGTTTTAATGTGCTTTTGTTTGACTGTGCTAATGACAGCTATATTGAGCTTCCATTCTTATCCTTACACTTTGATTGTGACTTCGCGCGAATTCGGTCACGTTCTGTAACCAAGCTTGTGTTCTGGCACGATCTCGGTATCCTTTCGATACCACGAGATCGCCAGAGAATATATCTCGATTTGGTCCATTAACTGTCTTCTGATATTTGGCTTCTCGGGGATCTTATGGATTTATTTGGTTACGTTCAACCTTCGCCTTCTGAACTAGTCCAAGCGGCTTCCCAGGGGTCCTTTAAAAAGGAAACTTGACCTATTCTTTAGGACTAAGGATGAAATATTATATTTAATATACTTAGGTTCCTGCCTGTAGGCATTGGTGATCGCCAGCGACTAGACACGGAAGCCTGTTGTTATAACTTGTAAATTTGTATGCCCTGTTTATTGTATAACACAACGATACCGCCAAACAGAGAGCAGCGAATTGGCGATCGAACCAGTGACGCATAAAACAAGTGAGAGCAGCCTAGAGTCCTGATTGGTCTCGCGTCCTGTCTAGCCCAGCCAGTTAAGTCCAGAACACAAGTCTCAGCCTCTGCGATATGAACCATTTATTTCAAACATACTAGGTTTGTATATCAACGAGACAGACCACAACGCACCATAAAACATGAAACAACATTTGTACAATATTTAGCTAAAAGTGGCCGTGAATGAGGGAGACAGTAATTAATAGACAGGTCATAGCTCAAGAATGGTAAATCGTATGATAATAGGTCATAGGTGAAAATAAAGCTCATTATAAGAGGGGCATGATTATGAACAGTTTAATTACATAACAATTACGCGATAAAAATATACGTATAGTATTGGTCCATAAATGGATCCCAAGAATTACCACTCATTATTCTTATCGGAACATAATACCTGTTAAGCAAAATCTTCTATTCCATCTACAACCATGTGAACCATTTGAATCTCTTTTTATTCCATTACCTGTATTCTATATCTCTGTCCATATTTCTTACTAAAATCCCCAAAACACAACAGTTTTATGTGATAGTTTTTGCTTTCACATGCTATATAAACGCGTGTATACCGATATTTCTGCATAATTCGCTTGCTTACGGAAGCAAAAGCGTTTTCAACACAC